CTTTCAAATTACACACAACTAACTGTATTGAAGTTGGGCCCCTACAGGTTTAAGACAAAGAGCAATAGCTTAGGCCTCAGGAGATCCGTTTCAGTCCAGAGCAGCCACACACCAGCTGTGATGGTGGCCGCGCCCCTGCCTTCCCGAGATAGCGTTCACATTCCTACGACAGGAATGGTAGGTTCAGAGTTGCTGAGCAGAGTAATGAAGGCGAAGCTCCTGGCACACAGGAAACACCGAGCCCAGTGAAAGGATGCATTCTGGGACCCATTCCATTTAGACCACAGAACCGCACTGTCCAACACGGTGGCTACCGGCCACGTGCGGCCATTCGTTAGGTGAAATGCACCGGACTGGAATTCTTCTCAGTGTTCCTTGGTCACACGTGGCCGGTGGCCACATACTGGACAAACCATTGCCATCGTCCCAGAAAGTTCCACTGGGCACTGATGTGGAGGAAGTGAAATTACACAGGAACCAGAAGTGCAGAGGCCCAGCCTTGACCACCAACTGGGAACCTTGCGCAGAGCTATGTGGTTCTGTTTCCTCGGTGGTAAATGGAATGATGCCTTTGCAGCAATGTAGTGTGGATGAGGTACAGCAAAATCACTTCTTTCTTTGCTTTCTTATCATCTTCCCAGGACCCCAAGATGAAATTGTGCAGCCTCTTGCAAAGATCACTTTAAGGACAACGCAAAAGGTACAGTGCTTTGGGAGTTCAGTATTCATAACCGTGGTTCGAAATTATTCCAGCACACCTGTAAGTAGTTAAGGAAAGCATATGTTCAAAAGCACACCAAGCTATATGCAGGCAATTCCTGTGGTGATGGAAAGATACAAATTAACGTAATTGAATAGGTTCTCTTTGGCAAATGGCCTATTGTAGACTAGTAAATTCTCATGGGGTTTAAAATGAAATGATCAAAGATCATACTTCCTACTTAAACATTTCTTTCACTTTAGTGCTTAAATCTGCTTGTCCAGGTTTGAAACCAGTAATTGTTGCTGTCATTTGAGAGGAAATATTGTATTTTATAAATTTATCCTAGGAAGGGTTTGGCAAACCTTTTCTGTAAAGAACCATAGAGTAAATATTTTAGGGCCACATGTCTTTATAACCATTTAACTGCCCTGGTAGCATGAAAGCCATCACAGACAATATGCAAATAGTGGGCATGGCGAGATGCCAATAAAACAATTGACTAAACAGCCCCGCACCCTTGACCAGATCCGGTTACGGAAGGACACATCCTTCCTCACTCTTGCTTACGAGGTTTTCTCCACTGTTATGTTTCTTTCATTTACAGTCGGCCCTCGTTTATCGCGTTCATCAGTTCCAGACTCGACCAGACGAATGAGTTTCCACGAAGTAGGGCCCTTTCCTTCTGCACAGTCGTCCCCGCCACTCCGCGCTTCGACAGTCGCGGCGTCACTCCACGTGGCACGAAGGTCGAGGCGCGAAGTGGCGAGGGACGACTACTTTAATTTGTGAACATATACTGCATCCTGCAAATGACCACCAGTTTTAAAATGTTTCACTTACAAATATCAAAATGTAATTTTTCTTGTTTTATTAAGGCCTTAAAAACCAATATACTTCTTTAGGGTGACGTTTCCCCACAGCGAATCAAGAGGAATGCACACAGTGTATACACTGTAAAGGGACTAATTAAAAGTGATTCGTGGAAACAAGCTGTTGCAAGTTTCTTGGCCATTTTACCAATTCATGAACTGAATTACAACTTAAATAGAAAACCAAAATCGAACTAAGTGCTTCGATGCCATTATTTTTCCATGGACATCACTGTTCAAGGCAAATAAATTAGGGTCGAGCGCTGAGCTGGCTGAAGGGCCCGTGCACAGCACACCTGCGACAGCTGCACACGGCAAGGTCGCTTCCAAAGAACTGGCGAGAAAGCAGAACAGAATCATGAGATTTTAGAACTGGACGTGTCCTCATGGGATCATTTGTTCAACCTCAGTGTGTTATGGTAGATGAGTGTGGTTGTCATCCCTTACTTTCCCCAGAACACACTGTTCTGCTTATTAGATCTCCAACTCTCCCTGAGGTGCCCCCTCCTTTGCACACTCAGCTTGACAGTTGGATGAGGCGGTTTCGTCCTCAGGTCAACAAGTGGGTACTTAACCGACTGAACTCACCAGAGCCCCAGAAGGACTGGTTCACAGATGGGTTCCTTACCCCAAATTGGTCTCCATTCTGGGGTGTTAGAATTACCTGGAGAGAGAAGCTTCCTTCCTTTTTCTTTCCTCCCTCCCACTCTTAGTTTCTTTTATTCTTTCTTTTTTCCCTTTCTCTCCCTCCCCAGCCTCCTCCTCTTTTAGGGATGCTAAGCTTGACAAAATGTCTGTGGGATGGCAGCCATTCTGCCATCTCGTGGAAAAGGCCGGCTGAGGATGAGGCCAGCAGAGACAAGCTGGTCTGAGACTGTTCAAGTCCTGATGGCTGAGTCTGGGTGCTGCCGTGACTATAACCAGACACCTGTCTTCATAACTGTAAGAGCAAAGCTGATATCCCCTTTGTCTTAAGCCTGAGTTGGGTTTTTGTCATTACAAGAGTCTGGACAGCCCTGGCCAGTTTGGCTCAGCGGTTAGAGCGTTGGCCTGCAGACCAGAGTCCAGGGTTCGGTTCCCGCTGAGGGCACGTGCCTCGGTTGCAGTTTGTCCCGGCCCTGGTTGGGGTCATGTGGGTGGCGACCACTCGATGTGTCTCTCCCACATGGATGTTTCTCTCTCTCTTCCTCCCTTCCTCTCCCCCTCCTGCTCTATCTGACGATAATGCAAAAATGTCCTCTGGTGAGGATAAAAAGAAACAAAAACAAAAGAGTCTGGATAAACACAATAGGTAACCGATCCAAAAAAATGAGCCTTGTAAAAGGGAGGGCCGGGACTTGCACACCCCCTGAATGTGACTAGCAAGTGTTCAAATCTTCCATGCGAAGGAGTTCAGGTAAAATGTGTGGACTACCTTGTAAGTTTCCTGGGCTCAAGTACCAAGTTTAGATAGTCACCTCGTTTCACAGATCTTCCGCTTAGGACAGAACCAAGTTTAAGAAAATATGATCAGATTGAAAGGAAATTCCTTCATATTTACATATAGTATAGGTGAGAATAAGACCTGGAGGGGTTCGGGGGGAGGGGGACGGGGGTCAGCAGTACAGGGCGCACTGGGGCAGGTAACACCCAGGACTGCAGCCCGCCCAAGAGCACCGCTCCGATGCCGCTCCGGTTCCGCTCCGGTTCCAGGGCCAACCCCCGCCAGCAGTCCTGCTGCAAATACTTGTGGGTCTGCACTTGTGCCCAACGCCAGGACAGGTGGGAGCCGTATAAACTCAGGCACATGGAGCCTCCACGAAAAAAAAGAAAACTTAATCCTGATCACCATTTATTTGAAAAAATAAAAGCGGGGTTTGCTATTTGCTTGCTATTAACCCTCTTACACAATGATCATGATTCAATTCCCTTACACACCCCCCACCCTAACAACTGGATTGATTAGAAACATCAATATGTGTGATGTGAACACAGGTCTTTACAAAGAGTAAGACTTTCAAATATACTGAATTTTGTCTAATGGACAAAATATATATTATTACTTTTACTGTACTAATTAGTTAGTAAACTACTGAAAATCAAAACATACCAAAAACACCCCATCGTTGGTATTTTTCATTCATCGCGAGATAGTTAAAGAGGACGTGGAAACGTGGGACCATCACGTGCTTTGCTATGAGAACTGGTAAGAAAACATCAGGGTCTGGTCTGCTCACATTTGTACGCTGACAGGAAAACTGTTCGTGCCGGGAACCGAACCTCATTCAATGGGGTTATGTCTGATTTCCTGTAGTATCACGCAGACTGAAGCCACATGCTAACCTGGGGGACATCTGTGACACTTACCTGGGCTTCTGATTTATGTATAATTTTTATTCTTTCATTGAATAATCTCCTAACAGAAATAGTTACTAATAAAGTTGAGTGAAACTGAATTAATCCTGAGACGATATAACCAATATATAACCCACATTTTCTGATTTTGGAGATATGCCTAAAGGAATAATATTGACTGAAATGAGAAATACACAGATCTTAGAGCTCATAAAACATAGAATTTTATTTTAATTTGTATACAAATAAAAATTTACCAAAATATTGTAAACCTAATTCACCCCTCTCCCCCCCAAAAGGACATTATGGAAAAAGCCACATTCTCTTAATTACATTTCCCCAGCTGGTAGATTCCGAGGGGGGGGGGGGATACTGATGCCCACAATATAATTAATGTCTCATCTTGTAATGTTGTAATTACAGAGATTTCCATAAGAATTGTCTGTTTAATTTTCACATTAAAATGAAATCTTCTACTGGAAAATCACAAATAAGGCTTCTGGCTTTATTTTTCAGGTGAGGTAAGGAATGCATTCAGCATTAAGGCACATGGCAGATACATGTGTGGAATGTCACGTGGAGGTGTGGGCCTTACGCTGGAAATGTATTTTGGAATATTCATGGAATTTCCAACATGTGCTGGAATTAGAAACTTGGAAAAACTGACGGTGTGTAACAGCCATTTGTTTGACTGAGCAGCACCTTTTTTAGAGTTAATCTGTTAAATGTAGTCTTGTCTGAGTTTACTAAGGCCTGTGACTTTTTATTATATAGTTTTAAATGTCTGCCAAACTGCTGTTAGTGAATGAGGGCCTGTCTGGCCACACGGGCTGCTCCCAAAGTTGGCAACAGCGTCTCCTGATCAGGCTCACGGTGACAGAAAAGGATGAGAACAGGGCTTTCATGTAATACAGGCAGAGTGAAATCAGGTCGTTCAGGCTACGCAGATATCTGATTCAAGAAAATATAGGGTTAAGATGTTTCATACACTGATTCTCACTTCTCCCCTTCCCATGCTTCTCCCCGAGACAACCATTTCCTTCACAGTGAAGAGAGAACCATCCCTTTTCATGGCACAGTGAACGCCTCCTGCAGGCCAGGGCAGGGCACTACTTCTTGGCCACGCTGGCCACGGCCTTCTTGGCTGCGTCCTCCAGGTCGACGGCCGAGGTAATGGGGAGCCCGCTGCTACTGAGTATGTCCTGGGCCTCGTGGACATTGGTTCCTGGAAAAGGGGCAGGATGGACAGTCACTGCAATGAAACCGGAGATGGTGCCCTAGAAGTTTTATGAAACCTAAAATCACAGATGCTGGTCTCACCAACATAATCTAATCACAAATCAGTTTCAGCTTTTTTGTTTTGTTTTGTTTCATTGATTTTAAAGAGAGAGGAAGAAAGAGGGAGAGAGAGATAAAACACTGATGAGAGAGAGCATCGATTGGCCACCTCCTGCACGCCCCCAACCTGGAATTTGGCCCACAACCTGGGCATGTGCCCTGACCGGGAATCGAACCAGTGACCCTCTGATGCATGGGTCAGTGCTCAACCACTGAGCCACACTGGCGGTCAGTTTCAGCTCTTTTGATGTGGGTATGCCTACTTTAAAAAATCCAGATGATGAATTTACTGTTTTCCACTTTTCATCTAAATGTCTGGCATTATAAAGGTACTGCCTTTATTTTCTCTGGCATTTAAAAAATGAAAATAATGAGGTTCTTATAAGATAGTGAAAAAAGAAAGATTAACAACCACTGTTCAATAAGTTTAAAATAAAAATCTTCTGCAATGGATTTATCCCTTAACTGAATAGTCTGGATATGGGATCTACAGAAGTAGCTTTGTGTAAAAGACGAGCAAGAGAATGGAAAATCAGGGTGTGAAACAGCATGGGGCTCGGGGGCAACATGGGAGGGTGCCGGGGCTGTTCACTCTGTACCTGACCTTTGCACCAGGAAATGAATGGGACACAGGCTCTCACCAATGTCATGACCCGAGAAAGTACGAGACAAGCTCTCTACCACCAGTGGTCCAGCTGGAACAGAAGATGGAAGGTAGGGCTTCAGAAAGATTAAGAGACTTTTTGCTGGTAGAGACGAAGTTGCGGATAGTCCAGCCCGTGGATGCAGTGTGCTTCCGGCCCTTGCCAGAAGTCGGGTCCAGTGCTTTGAAATGAAAGGTCTGAGTCCTGAGGTTCAGACTATCCGCCCCCCTGTGCCACGAACCCACTGCTTTGAAGTCAATGACAGGATTCAACACGTCCCCTTCAGCTTGCTCCTCATTCTTTTTAAAAAAAATTTTTATTGATTTTAGAGAGAGAGGGAAAGGGAGAGGGAGAGAGAGATGGAAACATTGATGAGAGAGAACACAGACTGGCCGCCTCCTGCGTGCCCCACACAACCTGGGCAGGTGCCTGACTGGAATCAAACTGGCGACCTCTTGGTGCAACAAGTGAGCCACACCAGCGGGGCGCTCTTTTTTTTTAATCCTCACCTGAGGATATTTTTCTATTTATCTTCAGATAGAGTGGGAGGGAGGGAGGGAGGGAGGGAGGGAAAGAGAGAAACACTGATGTGAGAGGGACACATCAAGTGGCTGCCTCCTGCACGACCCCGACCGGGAGTGGGGATGCACCACATCTGAGGTACGTGCCCTCGACTGAAATCAAACCCAAGACTCATTGGTCTGAGGGCCGACGCTCCAACCGCTGAGCCAAACAGGCCGGGCCCTCCTTGTTCTTTATAACCAAAGGGAGCAGAGGCCCCGAAAATGAGCACTGCGACCTCCGCTGGCCTCCCCTGGCCGCTCCTGGAGGGTCTGTAGCACTTGCCAGCCAAGCACCCCGCCTCACCCAAAGGTTTGCTGGGACCGACTCCTTAACACGCAGAGTGCTTTTCTGTCCTTTCCCAGGAACAAGCCCCTGCGAGAAACGTGATAAAATTTCAGATCTAATGAGATATCTCATCTTACATCGTTTCCTGTGCTTTTACCTAGTTAGCAAGACAGAGCCTATTTGCAAACAGACGCGGAGGCCCAGGCCTTGGAGGACCTGGAGTGCAGGGAGGACAGCAGGCCAGCAGGCTTCGTACAGAAGGGACAGGCGAGTTAGAGGGGGCAGTGGAGGCAAAGGTGATGTCGCTGATTGTCGGGGGCCCTGGGACCATGGAAGCGGTGGGGAAGGGGACATGGGCACTGACTGGGTCTTTGGCTCAATGCTCACTGGCCACCACTTGACACAGGAGTCTCTGCAAAGCAACGACTAAAAGGTAGGGAAGTCGTCAGCGGAAACCCCGGCCTCTCGTCCTGCCTCTGCTGCGCAATCCTTGTGTAGTTTTGGGTGAATCACTTAACTGCTTTGAGCCCCAACTTCTTTATCTCCAGACATAACCTAGTGATCATCTCCCTTATAACTAATATTCACTGAGCACTTACCTATGCGAGATGTAATGGTAAGTGACTTACATGCAGTCTTTTCAATGACTGCAGAGGACCTGTTGCCCGTTACAAGATAACTGAGGCACAGAGGTTAGAACTTCCCCACAGTCACACCGGCTGCGGCGGCAGAGATGGGACATGACCCTGTTCTGACGACACTGTCCGAACTGCCCGGAAGCGCTGCAGGTAAAGCAGGATGAGCACGCAGACAGCAGACGCGTGGGGAGCAGAGCGGGGAGCCAGGGGGCCCTGTGAGAGCGGCGGAGAGTCTGCAGCCCACCCGGCCGTCCAGCACACACATGCTCCTCCTCCCCAGTGGACAGCTGTGCTGGGAGGCGGCTGCCCCCCTGCGTGCAGCGCCCAGGCCCCTTGCACGGGGTCACGTGACAGGTCTGGCCCCTGGAATGCAATGGGACACAAGACACACGCCCCGGACATCTCTAATGTGGCCCTCGGCACTGGTCCCCGTCTGCCCCTGGAGCACTGCCAGCCCGGGCAACCGCGGGAGGCACCTTCGTGAAGACGGCGATGCCGCTCGGGCACCTGCTTCGAGCAGAGCGCCCCCTCACCCTCTCAGACGCCTCGTGCACGAGAAAGACCCGCTAGGAGTCTGAGTTCCAGCCTCTCGTCAGAGGCCAGCATTGCTTTAATGAAGTATTTTACTTTGTAAGAGTGGCAGGCAACTTCCAAAGGTTCAATCCCACCTTCTGGGGTTCACACCCCTGTGCCATCCTCTCCCCACTTGCTTCCAAAGAGTGTGGATGTAGCCAGTGATGGAACGCACTCTGGAGACCGAGGCAGAAGCCTGGGATCCGTCTGGCCCCTCTGCTGGATCACTGGACCGGGCGCTGAGCAGGCAAACGTCCGTGCTGGAGGCAAGGGTCCGGGGGCAGACTCTGGCCAACAGCCAGTGAAGAACTGTGACCACGTGAGTGCACTCGGAAGCAGCTCTGCCAGTCAGCCTTGACGTGACCTTTGCCGGGCGCAACCCTGAGCCTCGGGACCCAGCCAGGCCACACCTGATTCCCCACCGCAGAGACTGAGCTCATCAATGTTCCTGGTGCTAAGCTGCTAAATTTTGGAGCAACTCGGGATGATTTGTTCCTCGACAAATACACATGTAAAGATCTATTCTGTCATCAACACAAGCTCAACGTGCACACCGATTCACTTGGGGAAGTTGCAGGTAAGTCCGAGAGGTTGAAAACTGGGACAGGGGAGCAGCCAGTGGCGGGGACTGGAGCCAGGCAAGGAGCCCCCCCCCCCCCCCCCCCCCCCCCGATCTGTAGGCCTTCCCGAGCAAGGCACAGCCGGAAGCAGAAGCCCCCTGGTGCAGGAGCGAGCCGGCCTTTGGACCAGAAGGTGAATAATAAGTAAATATGTACATTTTTATCTCTTTCATCACAGACGTGAACTAGAAGTCTTTCCTCAGCTGTCCTCCAATCTGCCAGGGAAGAAGTAGACTTTAAGATACAAAAGGCTCTTCTCCCTCTTCCCTTTTTCTTTTTGTTTGTTTTTTTATTTAATTAATTTATTTTTGTTACAGATGTTTCTCCTTTTTCCCCCACTGATACCCTCCTCCCCCACCCTGTCCCCAGCTTTGTTGTCCATGTCCATTGTTCATGACACATGCATGTAAGTTCTGTGGTTTATCCCTCCCCTTCCCTTTTTCACCGGAGCACCCTGCAATCTCAACATGACTCCCAGGACCGCCGGGATCTCTGCAGGAGGCAGGCACACCTGCCGGCTCTCCTGCCTCTGCCTCCTGCTGCCTCGGACGGACTGACTGACTGACTGACTGACTGACTGACTGACGCAGGGACAGCAGTGCTGGCTGGGGCGGAGGTCGCAGCAAGAGCGGCTCGTCTAGCGGGTTGTCCCAGGGTCCTAAGTATGTCAGCTCATTTGTGCCTCAGGACAACCCGAGACTGGCTGCTCTTCTCCGCTCACAGAGAGGATGCGTGCGGGAGCCGCAGGCCAGCGCCCAGCGAGCAGGGCTCCTACACGCTGGGAGGCTTGGACCAGCCTTGGACGCACCCGCTCTCGGGCTTGGTGGTTTTTGGAACTAATACTCAGCATACCTAGTTTGAATCTTGAATACACCTCACGATTTTGTAAATAGATGTCATCATAATAATGTTGGCAAAAATAAAAAAAACCTCTACGTTTGTGTGGTTTACAGCCCTCCCACATCAGTTTATTTGATCTGTATAATGACCTTGAGTAGCTAGGTGTTCATAAATCGGTTCCTTTTCTTTCTTTCTTTTTTTTAAAAGTGAAGGTGATTTTTTATTTTTACTTTAGAGAGAGAGGAAGGGAGAGGGAGAGAGAGACAGAAATATCGATGAGAGAGAACACCAATTGGCCGCCTGCTACATGCCCCCACTGGGGATCACAACCTGGGCACGTGCCCTGACTGGGAACTGAACCCGCGACCTCTTGGTGCAGGGTCGACGCTCAACCACTGATCTGGGCTAAAGCAGTTCCTTTTCTTAGCCAGGAGCAGAGGCTTTGTGACTGGCAGGATTCCCTCTCAACATCCTTTGCTCTTCTCACCGTATTTTCATTTCTTGGGGACTGCTGTTTGGCATTTAAAATTTGCAGCACAGTTTCATGCAAGAGGAGACCACCTGAATCTCAATGACGTGACAATTAGGATGTCAGCTCCTTCCAACCACCCCTCTGGCTAAAACTACTTTCCCCATTCCCCCTGCTATCCAAGGCAGACTCAACTGTTCCTGAAGCATTGACTGCACCTGCTCCAAGGAAGGTCGCAGAGGCCTTCAGCTTGT